TGGAGTGACATGGTGGACTTGGCTTTTCTCTGACCATATAGAGAACCTTGGGTGCTAGTTATGGAGGGAGGAACCACGTACTGAAGTCACTAATTGTTCTGTCTTCCGTGCAAATGCCTCACATCCTAGGCTGTCTGGAAGGATACTATGTATTCTGTGCAGCAACCAATGGCAGAATTTGGACCATGACAAATGCCTGGCTTGTCCTAATACATTACATATGGAAAGTGTTTATTGTTCACATCTTGTATCTGAGACTCTTAAGCAGTTATGGGGTCCAGCTTGAATTCCCTGGGGTTAAAACCTTCTTGGTGATGCTAATATATCTCCAGAAATACTTATAAGGCAGCCCTCTGGTTATTAGGGGCCACAAGTTATCTCCTGGCTACTTTGGCCATCAGCGCTAGGTTATCCAGGGCCACAAGGAAGGAGGTCACGCCTTTTTCTAGTGGCCATTCCGCTTTGTGTTTATTTGTTCTTTCATGTATACATGCTTCATTAACCCTATCGTTCATTTGAAAACATCAATAAGGCCAATTTTGTCCAAGATGGGCAGATCGCCTTTCTCACTGAACTGACATCTTTAGAGAGGAGAGACAGACAATAAACAACTGAACAGATAAATAGGAGAAATACAGTTGTCGCAAGAGCCACGAAGAAAGGAAAATAAGGCAATATGAGAGTTGGGGCAAATTTCAGTAGAGTGAACAGGACAGGTATCTTTCAGGAAATGAATTTAAGCCAACGAGTAAGTGATAAGAATGAGGCATAATGCACAATTTGAGAGAAGAGTGTCTAAAAAGAGAGTTAGAGGGAGGGGCAGTTGTCAGTGTGGCTCAGGGGGAGGTGAGAGAGGGGAGAAATTAGAAATGAGGATGGAGAGGTGGGCAGGGGCCTTGTAGCCATGGAGAGGAGGTAAGAATCTGTCATTAGAAAGAGGGAAGCCTTCAAAGGGTTTTAAGCAGGGACATGATGTATAGTTTTGAAAGAGCACTTGTGAATTTGGAAGCCTGAGATTCCCAAATCCTTGAATACAAATAGGGAGTGACCACTACTTTATTTTTTTAAAACATTTTTTATTGATTTATAATCATTTTACAATGTTGTGTCAAATTCCAGTGTAGAGCACAGTTTTTCAGTTATACATGAACATATATATATTCATCGTCACATTTTTTTCTCTGTGAACTACTATAAGATCTTGTATATATTTCTCTGTGCTATACAGTATAATCTTGTTTATCTATTCTACATTTTGAAATCCCAGTCTATCCCTTCCCACCCCCCACCCCCTTGGCAACCACAAGTTTGCATTCTATGTCTATGAGTCTGTTTCTGTTTTGTATTTATGTCTTGTTTTGTTTTGTTTTTAGATTCCCATGAGCAATCTCATATGGTATTTTTCTTTCTCTTTCTGGCTTACTTCACTTAGAATGACATTCTCTAGGAGCATCCATGTTGCTGCAAATGGCATTATGTTGTCGGTTTTTGTGGCTGAATAGTATTCCATTGTATAAATATACCACATCTTCTTTATCCAGTCATCTGTTGATGGACATACAGGCTGTTTCCATGTCTTGGCTATTGTAAATAGTGCTGCTATGAACATTGAAGTGACCACTACTTTATTTCAGAGAGTAAGAAAGATCTGATTTAGAGGTGAGTTCTAGATGCCCTGGAGAAAGAACACTATAATATGTGGGACTAGTGTCAGAGTATCACAAAACAGGCTATCAGATACTCCTCTTGGAAGGCGGTCTGGGAAAGACACCTTCTTTTTCTAGAGAGCCAGATTCCCCCACCCCTCAGGCTGTGTGTCTCTCTTACGAGTTCTTCACAAACAGTGAAAAACTATGAGGCTGGCCAGCACAAGGCTTTTAATTATTTCCTCCTGGAGCAGAGTAGAGTTGCCCTAGTGAGGCACCAACTATGGTACCGTGTTGTCTGAGAGAGAAACTACAGTGCCAGGAAGAGCGAGCATCGCACTGTCAGAACTGAAGCCCCAGAGGACTCTCTGAGCACCACAGCAAAGAGAGAAATCAAAACAGAGAGAGTCAGAGGGAATGGAAAATATGTTGGTATGTTTTGTTAAGATTCACAGCCATAAAAAAGGGCAAGCAACTAATAAGAACATGACCACACATGACAGATGAAAGGCTGCATCCTAACACAGTGCTCACGTCAGTGAGGAAACAGTGAGGCTGCCTTTTTTTTTTTTTTAATGCGGAAAGATGTGAGCAGACTTTTACAGAGAAGAAAAGGCATATGGTTAATAAAAGTACTCAATCTCACTAAAATCAGAGAAATGCAAACTAAAATAGCAATGGGATGCAGGGTATTCTTTGGGAAAAGTGGCTTATCAAATTGAAAAACATTTTTAAAATCTGCTGTGCTGGTGAGGCTGTAGTGAGATGGATGGTCTCACATGTAACAGTGATGTGCATCTTTAAGAAGGGGTACTGTTTGAGCATCTTTAAAAAAAAGTTCATACCCTTTAACCTAGCAATCCCACTTCTTAGAATCTATCTTACAGTATGAAATAGTTTCGAGTGAAGAGGTTGATTTGTGTGCGAAGATGTGCATGTGTGAAACATTGGAAATAGCCTACTTGATAATAGAAGGTGATTGGTTGGCTTAATATGTATGATATATCCATTCAGTGCACTATTAGGTAGCCATTAGAAATGGTATTTTTGAAGATCTTTTGGTAGGGAAGATACACTATAATATGTGGAAAACAGAAAAATCATAATAGAAAGCATGAAATCATTTATCAATATGAATGCATATTAGATACATTAAAATAGATTATTGGATCACTATATATATAGGAATACATAGAAAAGCTTTAGGATTTTCTGAGTTGAGAATTCCAGGTAATTTTGTTTACTTCTTTGTGTTTTCCAAGGGTTTTTTTTTTTTTTTTGCACAGTGAACGTATGTTGTTTTATTTTATTATTATTTTTTTAAAATATGTTTTCATTCAAGTATAGTCAGTTTACAATGTTGTGTCAATTTCTGGTATATAGCACAGTACTTCAGTCATATAGGAGCATATGTATTTTTGTTTTCATATTCTCTTTCACCTTAAGTTACCAGAAGATATTGAATATAGTTCCCTGTGCTATACAGTGTAAACTTGTTGTTTCTTGGATTTTGTGAGAATCCTCCTGTATTTCAAAATGACACTCTGCCAGAGTTCAGTAGGTGTTCCATGTGATTCAGTGGGTTTGTAGATGTGACTCTTGGTGTGTTTGTGGGAGAGGGTGAGCTGTGAGTCTCTCTACTCTGCCATCTTGGCTCCTCCTCCATATGCTATTTTAAAAATAAGATAAAAGTAGAAAATGGTTGTAAGTCAATGCTCCCTCTTGTCATCAGGTCCCTATTAGAGATACACGTGCCCCCTTCTTTCCTCCCTTCCTTCTGTTGCTGTAAGACCCAGGAAAGTGGAGTGCAAAGGCAGGAGGAGAGCAGGGAAGTGGGTAGACCTCCTACCGTGCCATGGTTTTGCTGGGTGACCTGGGCCATGTCACTGCCTGGCTACAGGGCTCCAGTTCCACATCTGTAAAATGCACTAGTGGTACTGATTCCTCCCTAAGAAGGCAATGAGGATGTAGGCATGGTATTTCCAAGCTTCTAACCCAACCCTAACCCTAACCACTGTGACATAATTGACTGCTTCCATGAGCACAATGCCACCCACACCCAGATGTCACCATCCACATGGCCACCCTCAGGGCCAGTTACAACTTAGCCAGGGAGTCCCTTGCCCTTTCCTTTGGGAACGAAAGGGTGACGTTTATGTACATCATTCATTCTTTCAACATGTCCTTGTTACGCTCCTGCTCCTGGGCTCCGGCCCCTGGGGGCACCATGAGGCCCAAGTTCAGAGTGATTTGAGAAGCAGCTACACTTGCAGTGCACTCTTCCCTCTGTCTTCACTGGGGACAAGTCCTTTCCCTTTGAGAGTTATTTTAATTTGAATTTGAACTATTTTAAAGAGATGTAGTTTATTTGAAGCCAAATGTCTGACTCTGGATGGGCCAAATGGATCACACCATTTTTAGTGTAAACCACCTATCTACTATGAGTCTGATTTTCTTGTGGGTCTTAGAAGTGAGGAACCCAGAAACAGGTGGATCCCTGGCAGTGTGAATAAAACAGCCTGTGAATCTACCTGAAGCCGCGTGAGGGAGGGAAAAGTGTTTGGACTTGGAGCCAGATGACCTGAGTTCAAACGTGGCTCTCCTCCTTCCTAGCTTTGTGACTTGGGGAAGTTCCCGACTTCTCTGACCTGAAGTGTCCCCATCTGTAAAATGGAGAAATAGTCCCAACCTTACCCACATCTGCATGTGAGCATTACTCAGGATCTTCTCTCCAGAGGGACCTAGCAGAGAGCCTGGTGTGTTCTCAGCCATCTCATTAGTCCTCTTGCTGCTTTCCAGAGGCTGCTACTTGAAAGGACAAGACACATTTTAAATACACAGAAGGAAACCACGCTACACTGTCCTTGAGAGCCAGGGCTGTGCGGCTACACAGTTTGGCCGTGCCACCTACTTTCAGTGTGTCTTTTTGAGCAAGTGACCTGATCTTTCTGAGCCTCAGGGTGTGCATCTGTAAGGTGGAGCTGATGGCTGCAATACCCACATCCTAAGGCCATTGTGAGGACTTAGTAACATGAGCATCCACTACAGTGCCTAGTAAAATCACAGTATATTCACTGAACTGTTTGATATATTTTTTTCTGATTCAGATGAAATATTTGTTCAATGTAGAAAATTTAGAAAGCAGCCTAAAAAAGAAATGAAAAAGTGTGAGTTGTTTTCAGTCCTTTTACTTTGTAGTTGCTGCGTGTTTGCACCTGATCTTCCTCATCCACACTGTCCCACCCCATCCCCATTCTAAACTGAGGTGCTATCCTCAGCAGGCTATGGCTTGATGCCTTGATTTTTGCATCAATGTAACGTATGTAACACTGCTTTCGGCCCCTCTCTTGGCAGATCCTTCAAGCCGGACTTCATCCTTGTGCGCCAGCATGCCTACAGCATGGCCCTGGGTGAAGACTACCGCAGCCTGGTTATCGGCCTCCAGTACGGAGGGTTGCCCGCCATCAACTCCCTCTACTCCATCTACAACTTTTGCAGCAAGCCCTGGGTGGTAGGTGCCGGGCCAGGCTGACCCAGAAGGAAGGGGAGGCAGTGGCCGGCCTCCCAGCCCTCAAGTGGACACATTCCCCAGCATGGTGGCCCAGTAATGAAAGGAGTCTTTTTAAAGCAACTGAATAAACAACTTGGATCCCAAACCCCTTCTTATAATTATTACCCAACAGATATTATAATACAGTGTTATAATAATATTAGTGGTAAGGGGGTACCCTATTGCTCTTACTAATATTTGAGCATATAGCTAGTTTTGTTAAAGTTGGCACTGTGTATTGAGCACTTACTATGTACTACAAAACTATGCTGCCTGGTGCTCATGCTATTGCTATCATGTGAAGTGAGCGTCATTACTCTACAGAGAAGGAAGATTGGCTTAAGAGCCATTAAGGAACTCCCCAGGGTCAAGGAACCAGGGAGGGGTGAAAATGGAACTTGAAGTGAACTCTCTCCAACCTGTAAGGCTTGATTCCCCGCTCACTTTTATTCATTAGTTTCATATTCATTCATTTGATTTTAGTTTACATCCAGATGTTACCTGAAGAAAGGTTTTTCTTAGCATATAACTCCTTCACTCCTCAACTACTCTCAAATGTCTTACCCTACTTTATTTTTTCCCCCAAATACTTATCTCCACATAGAATGATATATTTATCCATTCATCTATATTATCCAGCTCCCCTACTTGAAGTAATACATTCATGCAAAAATATTTATTGAGTACTTACTATGTTCTAGGGATTGTTCTAAGTCCTAGGAACATGGCAGTGGGCAAATCAGACCAAAACCCTGAATCTTACATTCTAGTGAGCAGAGACACATGCAGTATGTTAATAAACATGCCAGATACATAATATGACATATGAAAAGGGTCAAGGGGAAAACAAAGCAGAAAAGGGAAAGACAGATGTAGAGGTTGGGGTATGTAGAATATGATGTGTGAAGCTCTTAGCCATCTCATCTCTTCTTTTGTTGTCTCTCTGCATGGTTTTCTGGTGGTAGGGCAGTGGTTGAGAACATGGGCTCTGGAGCCAGACTGCCTAGGTCCAGGCTCCTCCATTTATAAGCTGTGCAGCCTTGAGCAACTTGCTTGACCTCTCTGAGTTTATTTTCCATATTTGTGAAAAGATGATAAAATAGGGCCTTCCTAGTACGGTTATGAGTTAATACATATAAGGTGCCTAGAATGGTGGATGGTATTAAGTACACACTCAGTAAATCGTGACAACTGTTACTGTCCCTGGTGTTAGGAATGAGATCTCTGCAGAGTTGGCACTCAATATTTACTGAATGCATACATGCATTAATTTAATAGATATGGATAGTCTTTAACCACTATTACCATGGCTCTGGTCTCCTCATTCTGTCCTAACTGACCTTTTAGGCCTACAGCATCTCAGATTCAAGTACCACTGTCCCAGGAAGGTCCTAGGTAGTATTAGCTCGCCCTACTTGTTTGTCCACATAGTCATGGTGATGGTAGCAGCTACCATTTATTAGCACTAACTATGCTGTGCTGAGCCCTTACCATGAATATTATATTTAATCCTCGAACCACCCTGATGAGTAGGTATTTCTAATTTCTCCACTGTACAGATGAGGAAACTGAGGCTTACATAGCTGGTGGAAAGTCGTGGAGCTGGGCATCTCCAAAACTCATATTCTTGATCATGGAATTCCTCTCCTTTTCTGGACTTCAGTTTCCTTATCTGTAAAATGAGGGACCCTCCGTCATTTCCCATATTTCTGAGGTCCCTCAAACCCACTAAGTTGACACCATGTTGCAACACAGCTGCAGGCCAAGAGTTTCCAGACCAATCCTGGCCTGATGCAGGAAGTTCCCAAGTTACCTGTTCTCTCTGTGTGAGCTCTTAGTATTGAGTTAACCTCTAAGTCAATCTGGCAGAAGACTTATCTCCTCTTCTAGCCATTGGGCATCCATGTTAGGGGGCACATTGCGGCTTATTCCTTCTTCCTGCACAGAATCTACCTTGCTCTTCCCTGCATATATCCACCAGCAGCTTCCTTTTGCCTCTGGGTGAATTCTCAGTTCTTTCTCCAGACTTTAAGGCTCCTGGTGGTCTGTGATGGATCACTCTCCAGCCTCCTCTCTCACTGTCCCTCATGTTGAGGGCCACTGCCACAGCAGCCACCGAGTGTCTCCAGTACACAGTAGATTCACTGCACACTTGGAGTACCCTTCTTCTTTGTCTTTTGTCATCTGCTTCAGGGTATCATCCTCGCCACACTCTGCCCTCTTCCAAATCCCACATACCCCTTGCATCCCTCTAGAAAGACATTATTATCTCAATCATCTGCCCACAGACTGTCTTTCTCCTAGGCCTGGTCCGCACGTTCAGCATGCTGTCCCAGTGTTAAAGCTCAGTGCTGGGCACAGAGCGAGCTCCCAGGGATGTTGAGTGGGGTGGGGAGGAGACTGTAAGTCTGAGGCCTGCCTTTTAGGAGCTTACCCCTTAGTCCTGGGGACAGTAGCTATCTCTGTGGCAAAAGAAGATAGTGCTGAAGTGGGGGAGCACAGTGTGGAAGGGATGCAGCTCATGCTGTTGGAAACAAGTGGGGTTGTAAAAGCAGAGAAAAGCTTACTACTAATACTATCCAACATTTGAGTATACCTACGGACCAGGCCCTGCTTTTAATACACTGTATATTTAATCCTTACAACAATCCTGTGAGGTTGGATCTCTTGTTTTCTCCATTTTCAAATGGGGAAACTGAAGCTCAGAAACCTGAAGTGACTTCCCAGGTCATTCAGCTAGTAAGTGGTAGAGGATTTGAACCCAGAATCTACACCATAAATTACTACACAATACGTGTCTCAAAAAAGAAGGGCATTGCAGGCAGGTGACATGGCATGAAGGTCAGCAGGTTGTGCTTGTGTGAAATGCTGAGAGTAGAGTAAATGCTTATTAAATGTGGTTGAGCTGAACTTAGTCGGCCTGGCAGGAATGGTGGGGTTGGTGCAGGCAGATGGTGGAGAGGATGAATGTTCAGCAAAGGACTCTGGCCTCTATCCCATAGGCCTGGGACAACTACTGGAGCTTAGCTCAGAACAGACAGATGCTTGAGGCCTGGGATCAAGGGGTAGGTTTCACCATACTGGGTAACATTGGTTGACCAATGTTCTCTTGTATTCTGTCCTAGTTCTCTCAGCTCATTAAGATCTTCCATTCTCTGGGTCCTGAGAAGTTCCCGCTTGTGGAGCAAACGTTTTTCCCCAACCATAAGCCAATGGTGAGTGCCTCTTTTTTTTTAACTTTGCTTATTTTTGTGATACGGAGCAAACACTGATGTCCATGTTGTCTATCTATTTGAATGGAGGAGGTGGGCTCAGGGGCTGTTCCCTGAGCACTTGGACTCTAAGGAAGAGCCATGACATCCTGTAGGAATACCTGGCTTTCCTAGGGAGAATCAGGTCTTCAGGTGAAATTTCAGGCAGTAAAGCAAATGGCAAAGATGGACAGCACTCCTTGGGCATGTTCAGAAAATCAGGAGACAACTTAAGCTGGCATGTTGGAACCAAAGGTTGTTAGTAAAGGTGAAAGATGTTTCAAAGGTAGGATGTTATTTCACTTGAGCCCTGAGGTCCCTCTCCAATTCTTATTTTAATAAAAGCAATAGTATTTTGTTTGCATTGATCATCGAAAGGCAGTTTCCTTGTGTGTACTCTTTGCATTCCAACTTTTGAACATACCCAGGGTTGTCTCTGGGAAGTGGTTGGAGCCTAGTTTGGCATATGTGGGATTGTCTCCCACTCGGAGTCTTTTTGGATTGGGTGGAGAGCTCTCCATCTTACAACCAGAAGGAGTTGTGTGAAAGAGTTCTGGGCAGCTGGAAATAGCTTGTGACATGCCTGCTTGCATGGTCAGTGGTCTCCTTTTTTTTTTTTTTTGGTCAGTGGTCTTCTTAAATGGGTCAAAGGAATGTAGGGCCATGGCCCCATGCATGCCCTGCAAGGAATGTGAGTCTTGGGGAACAGGAAGGTTAACAGAGTATCCGATAATCCCAGCTGGGGGATGACAGCCTGTTTGTGGACTCCTAAGCTCGGGCTGCTGAGCTGGACAATTCTGTTTGGAGACACTGATAGGTGTCTCCAGGTGGGGGATAGTCTAACCAAGCAGAGACATATCTCATTAATTAGCTTTCCCTTATATCTGATCTAGTGAGAGTCACTGAATCCAAGATATGCTGGTTGGAATAAGAAGGGCTTGTAGAACCCAGCATGTTCCAATGAAATGAGAACACAGTGGAGAAAATTCAGGTTTTATCATCAAACCAGGCTGAGTTTGAATGCCAGATCTGCCTACTTAGTAGGTCTTGGGTCTTGGTGGGCCTCAGCTTCCTCAGCTGAAAACCATGGATTATAGTGGAAATACCTCATTGGGTTGTTGAGATTTAATGTGCTCATATACATAGGGTGCTGTAGGTGCTCAAAGTAGAGTATCTTTAAAATAGGAACAAAACCTATGCTCTGGAACATTGTCAACAATGGGATAGAAGTTGAGTGAGGGGTCTGAAGCCAACCCAACCCACTGAGGGTGACAGGCCCAGCTGTAAGTTCTGGGGGGGTTCACTGCTCTAGTGAGTTCCTGGCATCCCCAACTAGGCCAAGCCATACTCGGATTTTCAGGCAGGCATTTGGCATCAAGGACTGCTGTTTTAGACTCCCCCTCCTACTTCCACTGGGTTGAGATTCTTAGGAAGAAAACAGAGAAGGTCAAGTCAGGGCCCCAGTCTGGGAATACCTGTACCACTAATAGGTAATTAGATAGAGATCCAGATTCCACAGAACTCAGGAGAACCCTGGCCATAAAATCAGGGACCAAGGTCAGGGCTGGATTAGCAGCCAGGAGGAAAATCTAGGATGCCTCTCCTGGAAATGTTCCTGCCTGGTGAAAGTACTGGAGGGTCCACGCTGTAGAAGTGAGTGGAGGGAGGGGAGTTCTAGGCCAGGAACCAAGGCAGGCAGGACTGACTAGCTTCCAAGGCCCTCTGTGGTCTCTATAACCCCCAATGGCAGTCAGGACACAAGGAGGCAAGAGACTGCAGGTATGTGATAGAAATAAAACCACTTTACTGTTTAGAATAAAGGACACACTATAAAAAGTGAACAATTTGCAACATTACAAGACAATATACATTCACGGAATATAAAATTCATAAATAACATGGAGGAAAACTGTAAACAGTGCTACAAAATTTAGCAACAAATACATTCCTTCCAGACAGGGTTTTCTCTGGTTGGTTTCTCTCCATCACTTCTGGGTCTCAGGACAGCAGACCGGCTAAGGAGGATGGTAGGGGCATGGGAGAATCTACAAAGTCCCTCCCCTTGGGGATGAGTCCTCCTCATGCCTCCCAAGAGTCAGTTTAGAAGTTGTTGATGTCTGCCTCCCCAAACCCCCCCCCCCCATTTTGTTTTGCTTTTACTCTCAGATTTTTAAAGTGTTTTTACTTGTGTAAAACCATTTTAGTGATATTTTTACTTTAGCAGCCAGGAGCCAACACTTGGGTGTCATTTTGGGGTAATCCATATTGTTGATCGGCAAGCACATGAAGGGCAGGGGCAGGGGAGGGTACTGTCTCCTGGGGATCACAGTGTCTCTGTGATAGAGCTCTGAGACTGAACTGTTCCAGTATGTCATATGTTTCTTTAATTGCTCAAGAACCATAGCATGGAAGATGATGCTCATGAGCCGTAGTTTGACCACCAAGACGTAGGGTCTGGGGTTGGGTAAGGGTAAAGCACAGGAGTCTTCCAGTATCATCCTCCCAGCCAGATGGAACACTGGCCTGAGAGGTGAGAGCTTGGGTAGGGAGGCAGAAGAGATTGCCAGAGGAAGCCAAGCGGTCTTGGAATCATAGCTCTCATAGCCATGGATTTTTAGGAGAAATCGTGGCTTCCCAATGGGGTGGGCAAACGAACGAGGGGGAAAAAGGAATGGGAGTGACCAGTAGACTGCCTAGGGCCAGTCGATATAGAGCTAGGATGTGAATATACTTGCTATTTCTTCTCTCCTCCTTCCTACTCCAGGAGTCACTAGGATGCCAATAGGGAGGAGGCTGGAGGAAATCTCAAGTGCTAGTTCCTTCTAGTTTCCCCAATTTGCCAGTCTAGCTGCCTGCACAGTAGAAGTATTTACCCTCCATTCCATGTAGAATTTGATTCAGGAAAATGGCGGCATGTGGGTTTCATTTTTTTTTCTCTTAAACACAATGTACACATATTACAACCTACACATGACATAAGATTTAGCAAAATAAAACGTTCACGATATGAATGAAATACGGAAGTGTCTTAGCTACATAAATGACTTTAAATTATACAGTAAGTGAACAGGTGAAATAAACAAAGCTATAGCTTATAGAAAGCTCAAAAACCGCCCTCTGACAACATTGCTTTGCAAAGGACCCTTCTTTGCCCAGGACCTGCTGTTCTCCTTGCCAGGACCTGGCAGATGGGACTGTGGTTCCACCAACTTTTCTGCAGGGAAACTTCCAGTGACACGTTCAGACCTCACTCCAGGTCCCTCCTTGTATGACTGGAGGTGACCCCACCAGGGACCAAGAACGGCCAAATGCCTCGTGGAGGTCACGCTGATGTCCAATAGTGGGAGGGCACCTGTGCAGGCTGGGTCAGGGGTTCCACCTTGCAGGACTTTGAAGTTGAAGTTGAAATAAAGAAACTCTTAAAACACCAAGTCTGGGGCTCACCCCTTAAAAACCACTGGCCTGCTGACCTCACCTCCCTCTGCTCACACTGCCCCATTGAAAGGACAAAGCCCCCCATTTCCTGCATGCCACATATCACACCCATAAGGTGAAAAGTACTAGGTAATGGAATCCATCTCAAGGAAACTGGATGCCTATACTGCCTTCCTGCTCTGGGGTTCTGCCAAACACCTTGCCTGGGCATTTGTGTGTATGTTTGTGAGACATTACAATGTGTTGTCTGCTTCTTCTTTTTTTTTTTTCTCCTGTTTCAATTGGCAGCTCTGTTTCCTAAAGTGAAATGAACTGAAGATACAAATACTAATAGAGGGTAAATACTCATAATCTGAAAAAAGAGACAGAGCAATCATGTTAAATATAACCACCCTGTCAGCCCCAATTCTGTAAAGTATACATTATCACCTACTCTTGGCATCTCACTTTCAACACTAAAACTTAAAATAACTTTATTTAATTGGAGAATTCATATTATAGTTTTATTTCAAAAAACAGCAAAAACCCTATAGCCGATTGCAGAGTCAGGCTTTCTCAGTAACCACCAATTTTAATTCCATGAGGTGAAGACCTCAGGAGGTGGCATTCACCCATCAGTGTGAACTGGAGGAAGAGGAGCAAGTTGTCCCCAAACCTAGGAAAAGTGGCTGTTGAACCAAGGCAGGACACTGCAGCTTTCTTTCCTGTGCCCAGGCCCTTGACCCACACTAATTCTCATCTCCCATCTGAGCCAAGCCAGTAAGGCAGTTAAATGAAGGCCCCCGAACATGAAGCAGGAGAAAAGGAGAGGGACAGAGGTCAGATGACCCCAATTAGAGGGATGCTGAGGGTGCTCAGAATTTCAAATTTTAATTAAAATGAAAAAAAAAGTCAACTTGGAATGTCATGATTTTCTTCAAACAAGCAACGACAACAAAATAGAAGAGATTAAACTATTGGCGTATTTAACAGCATTGAACAGAATTCTGTGTCCTGTAAAAAAATTAGCTTATGTCCCCGCGTGGGTATATGCAAATGTGTATGCAAACACATCCCCCTAAGTGAGCTAAACGCTACTTTGGAAATAGTATTCTCTACCCAAATCTACTTGGCTATATCTGTGGATAGTGTACTGGTGTGTGTATTTCTCCAATTTACATAAAGGCAAGCTCCTGGCCAAATCTACAAAAGAGTTTTCCAGGAGGAAATCTTGTGGGAGGCAGGGAGAGGAAAGACATTCATCTCAGTCTTTCACCTGAGCTTTTGTACAAGGCAGGCAAAATGCCTCCTGACCTCAGGTAGATGTTTAAGTCTTCACCAGCTAAGAAAGTTCTGTTATTCTGGCCTGGCTGTTTGCTCCAGACTCAGAAACTTCTGGTCAAACCAAGCATCGCTGCGCTGGGGGAATTGTGTGTGTGCTCCATCATCCAGACCCTCTTGCAGTTTCTTCCTTCCCTCCCTCACTCTCATGTGCAGACACAGACAGACATAGTCTGGTAGGGACATGCAGTAGCATCTCCTTGGTGTAT